GCGGCGGCCCCCGAGTCCCCGCCCTGGTCCCCTCCGTTCCCCTTCCCCCGTGTCACCTCTGATCACTTTTCTGGAGTACATCAAGCGGGGACTAACAGCTGGTACGTTAGTTATTCTCTGTCTTGCGGGGAAGAGGGGGATGAAGCAGACAGGTACCTGTTTCAGTGGAGATTTTGGTTTGTTTATAAATACGTACATTTGCACACACACTAGAGAAAATGAAGTCAAAGGAGTGTTCTTCACTCTAACGGTAATCAGTGAAACCTGTGATCGTCTTCAAGTCTTATTAAAGTTAGAACTAAGTCCCAGATAGCTCACCAAACAAGTTTTTTTTTCTTCCAGTAGATAAGTACACTTTAAACTGTGGTAATCCTACCCCGTGGCAGAACTTGTCCTATAGTCTGTTTCTTCACCTTTCAGAATTGTCAACAGAAGAAGTAACAAACAGGTTTTAGGTATCTGAATCGCTCCTGCTCCACAAGGACTTGTTTTATCATTGTTTTTCATGGCAGGGGTTGTGGGTGAGAACACAGCCATGTGTGGTCTCTGATACCATGTTACTGCACCGTATCTGACTGCTTGAACAGTGTGTCCTATCTCGAATGATAAGGACATAGTTCATAACAGCTCCTAGAATGTTTGTAAGGCTGTAAAGTGCACTGCAGGGAAATTGCCTGTAAAATAATACTCAAACATCAGTTGTAACAGATGAGCATAGTGTATTTTCCTGGGCCTTTTTACTGACTTGCTGTCAGAGTCTTGACAGCATGGTGGTCTTTCCCAAGCAAAACTTGAAGGCTCACCTTTGTGAAATCTCCAAGATTGACACAGAAAATAGTTTGCAGCTGGTTTGGTACCAAGCACTAGCACGAGTTACCCCTATGTTTATCTCGTTATATAGAAAAAAAGGACTGTAAGAGTAGAAAATTTTACAGATTTTTTGATAGCCCATTCACAGTGTACATCCCTACCCATTGTTGCAGCTCCTTGTTTACAGATACACTATTGTACCAGTCATCTCTTTTCCTGTCTTAATGATGGATTTCCATTTTGAGGCTTCTTCTGTTTATGGTCAATAAACTTCTGCACCACCCATTTGTTTTTTGTCAACATAAGTGCCTTCACACTGGGCACTCTGTTAAGTTGTCAGATCCACTCCTGAAAGAGGGGAAGCTTCTCCCCAGAGAGTCATAGGAAGTGCTCCTCTTAGGCTGTGAGGGTGGAAGTTTGTAGTGATAGCACTGTGTCCTAGACAGAGCTGGTAACATTATCATCTATTGTATCTGCCATTCTCTTTCAGCTTTAAGATCCTGTTTTAACCTACTTTAAGATCCTGTTTTAAACTTTGTCAAGGACATTACTTTGTCAGAAAAGCTGTTCAAGCTCTAACATGCCCATGGCCTAGGCATTGTATTTGACAGGAAAACAGACATAAGTGGTTCTCTTGCAATCCCCACAAATATCCATCCATATTGTAGCCGTGCCAAAACACTCAGGAGCTGGGGAACAGCAGGTCTGTGAAACTTTAAATTACTTCACTGCTGCATGCATATTATTTTACCATATCATTTAGTGTACATGGTCATTTACCAGTTTTGTTCTGGAGCCCTGTTTCGTGCATTGCACTGGAATAGAAAGTACTTATTTAATGAGAACTTCTCCACCGTTTCTCCCACTCAATCTGGCATTATGTCCTATCTATTGTATTTTCTTCAAGTAATGCTCTGAATAAAGAACTACAGATTTTGCCAGCTTTTTTCTTCCATGGTTATTTTGACAGAGAGCATCTATAATAGCACTACATTTATTTTCAAGCATTGCTACCAAACCAAGGCATGCTATTATCTTCAGTTAACAAGTGAGAATTCAAAGATACAAAGGAGCTAAGATAAAAGAATCCATAAAGCTTAGGTGTCTCACATGAAAGCAGTCTAGGACTCTATTTTTTCATAACTATTTAGCACTATGTCACACTTCATTTACCCACTTATAGCTCTCTTTCACTTCAGATCCGTATATAAGTACTCAGCACATTGATAAATCAGATTCTTACCAGACACTGAAAAAATTGGTTAGCGGCCACCTATGATAAATGTAACTAACTTGCATAGCATCAATTACAAACTCAGGGGCAAGGTTATAATTTAGCTTTCAAGACAGCATTCAATTGCCTTAACCACTGACCTGTTTTTTTCTTCCTGGGAGCCTTTGCTGCATTCACTACTCAAGTTCTGTCACAAACATGGAAGAAGCCCTACTTACTGCATTCTATAATCTCTTTAACTTCACAAACTCAGTTCATATACATGCTTCATGGCAAAAGAGGCAGGGTCCCTATGAAATAAGCAGTACATAATCCCCAATTTTATAAAAATGCATTTACAGAAGGAACATTTTCAGCCTTTTGACTGACTAATATTGTGACCTTAACATCAGCATTCATTTAACATTTGTGTGTGCAAAACTGCAAAATGGACAAAATATTGAATTATATGTGATTCCATGAATCATGGATATTTATAAGAAGTAAAATTTTAAAATGAAATCAGTATGACCCATTAAATGAATAAATCTCCCACCCAATCCTGCCAGGATTACCTGGTATAGCCCTTTTTTAGGCACTAAATGTAAAACATCTCAGTCACAACAAAAACAGAAGAGCAGTCTATATTGAATCACAGAATCATCTAGGTTGGAAAGTACCCTGGAGATCATCAAGTCCAATCGTTCTCCTAGCACAGTTCCCACCTACAGCATATTCTTAAACTCTAAATCGACCCTACTCTTGAACACCTTCAGGGATGGGGACTCCACCACCTCCCTGGGCAGCCCGTTCCAATGACTAACAACCCGTTCTGTAAAGAAATGCTTCCTCATATCCAGTCTAAACCTTCCCTGGCACAACTTGAGGCCATTCCCTCTTGTCCTGTCGCTTTCTACTAGTCTAAAGAGGCTCAAACCCAGCTCTCTGCACCCTCCTTTCAGGTAGCTGTAGAGGGCGATGAGGTCTCCCCTCAGCCTCCTCTTCTCCAGACTAAACACCCCCAGTTCCCTCAGCCGCTCCCTGTACGACCTGTGCTCCAGACCCTGCACCAGCTTCGTTGCCCTTCTCTGGACACGCTCGAGTCATTCAATGTCCTTTTTGTAGTGAGGGGCCCAAAACTGAACACAGGAATCGAGGGGCGGCCTCACCAGTGCCGAGTACAGGGGTCAGATCCCTTCCCTGTCCCTGCTGGCCACGCTATTGCTGACACAAGCCAGGATGCCATTGGCCTTCTTGGCCACCTGGGCACACTGCTGGCTCCTGTTCAGCTGGCTGTCAATCACACCCCCAGGTCCCTCTCTGACTGGCAGCTCTCCAGCCACTCCTCCCCAAGCCTGTAGCGCTGCTGGGGGTTGTTGTGGCCCAAGGGCAGCCCCCGGCATTTGCCCTTATGGAAACTCCTCCAGTTGGCCTCAGCCCATGGCTCCAGCCTGTCCAGGTCTCTCTGCAGAGCCTCACTTCCACCCAACCTGGTGTCATCTGCGAACTGACTGAGGGTGTACTCGATCCCCTCATCTAGATCATCAGTAAAGATGTTAAACAGGAGTGGCCCCAAAACCGAGCCCTGGGGGACACCACACGTGACCGGCCACCAACTGGATCTAACTCCGTTCACCACAACTCTTTGGGCCCAGCCATCCAGACAGTTTTTTACCCGGGAAAGTGTGCGATTGTCCAAACCTCGAGCAGCCACTTTTGCCAGCAGAATGCTGTGGGAAATGGTGTCAAAAGCCTCGCTAAAGATAAATTACATCCACAGCCTTTCCCTCATCCAATAAGCAGGTCGTCCTGTCCTTGAAGCTGACCTGTTAATTATTCACTAGACAAGGTTTATCTAATAAACTTAGCTACTCTTTCTGTTCTTGGAATATCTGTGAGCATGGTGCCAATCTTTCTGGGGACTTGTTTTGGGTGTTTACATCCATGCAATTTTGTGACATTTGTTTTTTATTTTTTCTTACTTAACCTTGTGGAAGGTTGTGGAAGAGTAGTGTGGCACTGGAATTTGTACAATGTTGCTTCATGGCTGTGTCCTTTGAATGATTGTATGTGTTCTGTGTCATTAATGTTTAGAGAAATTTGAACAATTTCAGTGAAAGCATTTTTCCATATGCATATCAGAAAGGTACATTTTTGGCATGTGAGGGCAGAATATTCCCTCCTCCCAAGCTTCTGGAACAGCAGATTTTGCACGTTTTCATTGACCAGTCTTATTGCCCATCCACAATTAACATTTCAGTCAATTTACAGAAAATATAAATCACTCTTATCTGAAGGGAACTGTGTCTTACTTGACAGTATGACTCTCCGTGAGAAGACTGAATTTCGCTGACTACTATTTTATAATGGGTGTATTAACATTTTCAGGGAACTTTCAGAAATGTTTCTTTATGCATTTTTCAGTAACTCTATTCACTGTCTCAACAAATTGTTTTGCATACTTGTTTTGTCAAATTTTGAAAGGAGTCTGTAAAAAGAGGCTTGCATTAAAGAAATTAAGTAGCTCCGCTATGTAAAGCGACAAGCCTTAACTATGCAAAAATCAGTTACCAAAACCTGTTTGATTTGTTAGCTACTTCCAAGGATGAGCGCAATCACTTACTTTTTTCATTCATTTGTTTTACTCCTCAGATATTCCTCCAAGCCAGACAGCTCAGCAGGAATGCAGGGCTCATCTATCAAAACCAAAAGGATTTGAGGAATTGATGAAGAATTAAATGGCAGTGTGCGAGGCGGCAGGGGAATGGAAATTTATATTGTATGCAGCCTGCAAAAGAGATGCGGGGCTGTAGACCTGCTGGGGAGAGCCTGAGCACAGAAAGGACAGAAAAAGCCATTCTCTTCACTGTGCTGCAGT